AAGATATCAAAAGCCACCATAAAACAATTTCTTTCAAAGAATTACATGGACTATTTAATACATCTATGTATCTGCCTATTTTTCCTTTTGTATCTTCTACATTTTTGAATAATGCCACACTCTATTTCTGCAAGGCTTAATATCTTTATCATTTTTTATAGTTATCATTTTATAGTTATCATTTTTTTATAGTGATTGTCCATTGGTTTCTACAGCAAATATTTCCTGTATGTCTAGGCACTGGGCATTCTGATAGGGGAGAGAGGGTAAGAACATGATCCCCAAAGTCCCAATTTTCTTGGAACACATATAGTAATGGACAGGTATAGACAATAGATATCTTTTCAAAATAACATCAGACACTGAAAAGTGCTAGGAACACTCCTATTGAGGAAGATGTAAAAATGATGGATTTGACAACCATTGACAAAGGGTGGTCATGGATGCTGATTGAGCTTGGAGATTGGGAAGTCAGGTATGTCTCACTGAGAAAGGGACTGAGCCAGTGTTTTGAAAATCAGAAGTTTGAGTTTTCCTGGCAGTGACTCAATAGCCTGAGACAAGTGAGCACTTGGGTCCTGGAAGAACAGATAGCTCAGGGACAGAGATAAGGGATAGAGTTAGAAGATGAGCAGACCAAATCAGATAGAGCTTCTTGCTATGAAGGTAGCCTAAATTCCATTCTAAGGGCCACAGGAAGTTGCCTTGAGGGTTTTAAGCAAGGGAGTGACTTAATCCAATATGTGCTTCAAAAAGACTGTCCTAGCTATTAAATTGTTTTTATTTGGCCCTTGCAAAAGATCCATGATATAGCCCCCTAAGATATTTTGCCTTATGTATATGAGACTGAAATAAGGATTTTGTATTTGGTAACTTTTTCAATCTTAAAAGAAGTGGGGATAACTAGTTAGGAAAGAATCTTAATGAGAAAAGATTTGGTACTCCTAAGGAACATATATAAAAGCTATACATTCTACTTCACAATAAACATGTTTGTACAATAGTTTCAATGGAGGTGTAATTCATCAGTAAAAATAAACAAGCTTCTATGCAAGCAAGAAAGCTTTTCCAACTTTCTTTTAAAAATCAACACAAAAACAATGACATGATTGTCTATGCAGAAAATCAAAAAGAATTGACAAAACAAGTCCTGGAAATAATAAGAAATTATAACAAGGTTTCAGGATACAAGATTAATATACAAACATCAAATGCTTTTCAATATACCAGCAATGAACAAGTGGGATTTGAAATTTAGAACACAATATCATTTAACCCCCCCCTCAAATTAATTATGCTTAAGTTCAAGCAAAAAAATTATGCTTAGGTATAAATCTAACAAAATATATACAAGGTGTACATGAGAAAATCTACCAAATTCTGATGAAGGAAATGAAAAAAGAATTAAATAGTTAGTCCATGCATGAGAAAGAGAGAAGAAAGTGCAGGAGAAACAGAAAATAGAGACTGGTGGGAAGCTGAAGATGGGGAACAGTAGGCTCAGATGACAAGTTCATCAACCTTCTGGCATCCATTAAGGCAGTGCTTCCAGTTCACCTCCCACTGGGGGGACAGTGCCTGACAATCACATATCACAGTTTAGTCTCAGCATTAACTAGTCAGTTCTCTGTTATCCTAATATCCCAATGGTCTGAATGGAAGATACCTATTAGAGTGATATATAAGGCAACCTTCACAATGTAGGATGTCCCTATGTAGTCACTGGAACTTTACCAAAATAATCACTGAGCGCAAAAACCAAATTACCAAATGGCACATTATAACTCTTTGTTGGTTAAGAAAAAAAATTACAACTTGTACATGTATATATGTTTTGGGAAGAAGAAGAAAATTAAAAAAAAAAAAGCCTGAAAGAATTTCTCCAAACACTTAACAGTGATAAATCTCCAAGTAGTAGGATTTAGTGTGATTTTTACTTTTACTTATACCTTCCTGAACCATCTAATTTTCTAACAACAACAACAACAAAAAACGCTCACCCCCCAAAAAAGTGTTATTTATTATTAAATAAAACATCCTTTGTAATCAAATAAAATGATCTATTAAATACTGAACTTCTTTCCCAAGTCTAGATATTTTGCTAATGTCCAATTAAAAGTGCACGTGAGGGAGAAAGTGAATTAAGAGGAAACACTATTGGGGCGCTTGGGTGGCTTAGTGTTTGAGCTCCTGCCTTTGGCTCAGTTTGTGATCCCAGGGCCCTAGGATCAAGTTCTGCATCAGGCTCCCTATAGGGAGCCTGCTTCTCCTCTGCCTGTGTCTCTGCCTCTCTCTCTCTCTCTCTGTCTCTATCTCTCATGAATGAATAAAATCTTTAAAAAAAAAAAAAAAAAAAGGAAACCCTATTCCCCACTGCCAAATTTCTAATCTGTATTTTTCCCCTTTCTGGACTCAGGTGACATTCCAAATCCCCATCACATTCCCACTCCTCCTACACCCCCCTTCACACCTGCAGATCTGCTCTGCACCCTCTCCCTCTGTCCCAGTCTCTTTCTAGTCTCTGCCTGGTTTAGCTCTGCTCCCTGACTCACTGGAGTTCACAATAGTATCTTATCACATCCCTGAATCTTCAGTCTGCCTTGGTAACAATCCCCAACTAAGGAAGCCCTCATATTCCTTCTCTTCCAGCTCCCAGGCTGCCAAGTTCTATTAGAAAAGGCACAAAACACTTCCTGTCACTTTCCTACACCCCTCCTCATTCTTGCTCACTCCAACTCCACAAAACGGTGCTATAATTTTCCTTCAATTATACCTCAAAATGATTTTCTCTCTTCATTCTTATGTTTCAAAGGAAGAAATAGTCCTACCTCATTACCAAGGCTCTTTTACTCAGCTTTGACGCAGTCATTCCTATTCTCTTTTAATCCCAATTGTAACAGCTCCTTGATTTTTTCCTTCTGCTCCTCTTTCTTTTCTCCTTTTCCTCGTATCACTTTTCCCACACACACCCCTTTATCTTTCCCTTTATCCTCAGCGGTTGGGTGTCTGCCTTCAGCCCAGGGCGTGATCCTAGAGTCCCGGGATCGAGTCCTACATCCAGCTCCCTGCATGGAGCTTGCTTCTTTCTCTGCCTGTGGCTGTGCCTCACTCTGTGTCTCTCATGAATAAATAAATAAAATATTTTTTAAAAAATTGTATATTTGGTCATGATTTCCTGACATAAAAAATATGTCTTGATCTAATTGACTCTTCAAACTGCATCTAATTTCCCACATTTATTTTATTTTACTTTTTTTTTAAAGATTTTATTTATGAGAGACAGAGAGAGGCAGAGACACAGGTAGAGGGAGAAGCAGGTTCCATGCAGAGAGCCTGACGTGGGACTCGATCCGGCTCGGACCGATCCCGGGTCTCTAGGATCAGGCCCTGGGCTGAAGGCAGCGCTAAACCGCTGAGCCACCGGGCTGCCCTCCCACATTTCTTTTAACTCCTTACTTTCATGTAATCAATGATTGCTATTTCCACTTTCTCAATAACTCATCCCTTAACTCCTATGATTTGACTTATGCCACCAGCAAACGTTAGCAATGACTCCATGCTACTTACACAGATGTAAAGGAGAGACCCCATGACCTTCTCCGTTCCCATTCACCTCAACCTTGCTATGTACATAAATCATTAAATATTCCCTCTTTTGTCTAGCTTCTTATCACTGCACTCCACTCATTCTGCCTCCTTTCTTGCTACTTTTCCACCTACTTATCCAATCTCTCCTTTCTGAGTCACCTTCCTCACCAGCCCACCACAACCACCATGATCATCTATACTTTTTAGCATTCTGACACTGACAGAATGTGCTGTGTGCCCACAACCTTGATCCCTCGGTCCCTCTATTCCCTTACTTTCTCTGAGCCCTCTGCTTTTAGATTTCTTCCTTCTGTCCACTGCACAAATGTAAGCATTTCCCATAAGAGCCCATTCCCTGCCCTATTTCATTGACTTTGAACCATTCCGTGTAACAACCTCAATTCCTTTAACTTTTAGTAGCTCTCATGTTTGGACAAGTTCCACTTTTTTTAGCTTTGATATCTACCCCAGTTTTAGAATCACATTAAAAATAAATAAAACAAACATCCATCATCCTCTCACCACAGGGACACACTTCTGCTGAATTTTTTGTTTCTATGACTACTACTCCAGTTGTTCCTGAAAGCCAAGCTTCCTCCACTAGCACCATCTGACCCCTCCTTCCCTGGCAACACATGGTCCATAAGTCCTGTCAGTCCTTTGGGAATGTCTCTCTCCTCTCTTCTTTCCAGGGCCACTCAGCACCAATGTTGATGTTCTAACTCTGTCCTTCCTAAGCGATTGCTAATTCCCAAGTATCTCAACTTCCAGTGTTTTTCTTTGAAATCTACCTTCTGTATCAATGCTGTATTTTACACACACTGCTTTTGTCACTCCTTGTCTCTTACCCAATGAAGTCTAAAACTCCTTAATCTGGTATAAGAAGTGATCATGAAGCATCCCAAATTGACATCCCAAATCTTATTTCCCATGTGTCCTTCATACTTCCTCTACCTTCCAGCTAATATTATTTATCATTTCTGGAACTTCCTTTACATCTGTGTACATGTTTTACTCTGGCTGAAATTTTTCTCTTCATCAACTCCTCTTATCAAAGCAGCTTCATCCTGCAGAACCCTTTCAATCCCTAGTCTCCTATAAGGCCTTACCAAAATTCACTTTGATCCCTTGAGTTATCTGCTATATCTTTCCACTGAGCCCATGGGTGCCTCTGTTGCAACATGTGTCCTAATCTGCCTTGCTGTAATTATACTTTTTCTTTCCTAAAAGTTTAAAAGCCTTTGGAGGGCAAAAAGTCTATTATTTATTTTGTATTACCCATGTTTGTTCCAAATTATGAACAAAATGTATATTTAAGAAATGAATTAATAAAAGAACATTGCCAATGGTTTTATGACATTGTTTCCTTTATTTATGCAAATTTTTTGCTAATTTTGTACCTTCTATAACAGGTGGTGCTGGAAGTAAACAGCGAATTTATTGTTGAGGTAATGTATAAAAAAACTATTTTCTCAATTTAAAATTGAAAGAAAAATAGAATTTTGCAATGCATCATATAAGAAATATCAGAATATTTGAAATCATAATCATCTAGATAAAAGGTAAGAGAAAGAATCTCTGCCAAACTGAAATAGCAATGGTAAAACCCATACTTCCAAACATCCATGTTTTCAGGCATGGTTTGTGACAGTTCAATGTCATAGTAACTGCTACTTTTCTCAAACTATATTAGTAGTTTATCCATACATTTCCCAAATTAAACAAAACAAAAGAAGCACAGTAACACGTTAAGATGGGAAGAGGATTTTTAGACAGTTACACCATTAGGAAAGATAACTGATCATCAGTTAATGAGGGAAAAATAAAAAAGTAAAAAAATATTTATCATAACTAAGTAGAACAACAGGGAATCGAGTGCCATTTAGAGTGGGACTCAGGAAATAAAGCTACTGTCCTTAATCTCTGGGAGAATTTTATTTTTTTACAGTAGTTAGACTTTCATTATGATAATCTCAAATCATTGAAAAAAATTACTTTTCTAATCTCTGTTGACAAAGTAGGGAATACATGGTACATTTCAGGAAGTTGTATCAAAATGGAAGGAAATGTACATTATACACAAATATATGCATACATTTATACATGTATAAAAGTGTTTATGCATGTACTAAATTTCTACACTCTTGAATACTATAAAATTCCTGGACGTCTTCCAACAATAGCAACATAAACCTACAAAGAGAAAAACATATAGCAAGCAGAGATACAAATGGACAACTTTGAGAAGGCACAGAGTTGTTCACAGGATTATTGTAAGCACCATCAATTTAGTTAAAATATTCTCCTAATCCTACAATAATATATTTGGGTGCTTAGCTAGAGTCGTGTCCTTACCAACAGAAAAGAAAAATCCCTTCCATCTTTTAGGTGAGCATACTCACCAGAACAACTTTCCTTTTGCATAGGTCGTACTCAGTGGAACACTAACAGTCTTTTAGAATCTGGAGACAAAAAAGCCTGGTCAGAGGTCAATGAAGGGTGAGGTAGGCAAGCCCTCCACATGGTGAGGACAGATTGAAAAAAGAAAAATCATAACATATTATCCAATGTAACACATTGTGAGCACCACACATAGCTAATGAAATCTATTTCACTGGAATCATATAGTTAGAAGTGAGATGATTCCAAAAGAAGTAGGCAGGCAGGTGACAGAGCTCTAACTATCTAGAGTGATGAATTAGTAAACACCCTTTGTTCCTCAAATTCAACACTATTGCTTCTTCTGGGTATACTTCACAATGTTGAATGCATGTCCTTCCTAAGTAAAACTGTACTAACACTGTACAAAATGTGAACTATTTTTGCATAAGGTGAAAGAATTAGACATTGAAAAAGGCACTACAAAATGGCAGACCGTCAGAAGACAAAAGCGGGAGTGGATCAAGTTTGCTGCTGCCTGCCGAGAAGGAGAGGACAACTCCAAGAGGAATCCAATTGCCAGAGTAAGTGATGAAATAAACAGGAGCACGCTGTGCTGATAACAAATGATTTTGCAGGGCAGGAAAGCCTCAGACATTTCAGGGATTTTCAACCTTTACTACTCAATAGTCATTTAGGAAGATGGGTGACATGTACTCATCTGCTCATGTTGCTGAGGCACTGTTTTGAATATCACCTTTGGAGAGCCGACACAGAGCAGAGAGTCTCTGAAATGATCCTAGTAGAGACCTGGATCTCCAGCACCACTGGGCATTATCTTCTCATTTGTGTTCTGTTTATCTGTCGTATGTACATGTTATAGGAAATTTACATGTGTAGTAATAATCTCCGACTATCCCACTCCCAAATCAAAGGTTTATAGTACTTACTCTTTTCAAGATAGAGAGTATCAAAAGTTCCCACTAGATTCCTAAATCCAGAAATTAGGAGAGACTTAAAATTAAAATGTATTCCAAATAATGGTATTCCAATTAATAAGGAAGGAGAATTAGGAAAGAAAGGCGTCCCTCTTCTTTTCTTTTTATTTGCATTTGGAAGAATTCTTGGATTTTCATCTATATAAATAAGATCTCTGGATTACAGTGAAGCTAATCCAAGTTGTATTTACAGTTGTCTTTATTTAATTGTGAATATTTGGGTCACAAATCTTAGTATTTTATTGAATGTTTTCATCTTTAGTATACAGGTGAGATTTCAAAATGTAAACTATCTTTATTTAAATTTATGAGCAATAGGTATAAAGCTATTAAAACCGGGACACCTGGGTGGCTCAACAGTTGAATGTCTGCCTTCGGCTCAGGGAGTGATCCTGGGATTCTAGGACCGAGTCCCACGTCGGGCTTCCTGCATGGAACCTACTTCTCCCTCTGCCTTTGTCTCTACCTATTCTCTCTCTCTCTCTCTCTGTGTCTCTCATGAATAAAAAAATAAAATCTTTTAAAAAAAACTATTAAAACAAAACTTATATAGCAGAATATTTGCCACAAAATCTATTTGGCAGGTGAATGAATGAAATGGTAGGTTTCAATTCAAAAAAATGATTGCCAATATCTCTAAATACTGTGCTTCTCTTGTGATTTTCTTAAATTATCTATAATTTTGATTAAATCTCCAACTAAAGTATTGTCAAGGTACATATCAATATGACACAATCTTTTAACAAATACTAAAGATGGTGATTTCTTCTGTCAAATTCTTTATATGCAAAGAAAATCAGAGAATTAAACAATGTATTGTTAATAATAACAAATCTAGCATCAAGCATATATGTGCCTTATGCCAGGCTTTGGGGTGGGTGTATATATGTTACCTCATACCATCCCCACTACAAACCTAGGATGTAGGTGGTATTATCCCATTATAAGCTGAGACTTGGCAAAGTTAAGTGAATTTTCCAAGGTCACTCCAGGCCTAAATCATGGTCCCAGGTTTCAACCCAAAGCCCATCTGGCTACAAAGCTATCCCTTCTCATTTTATTATACTCTGCAGTTCAGGAACTGCTTTCAGTAAGATCACAGACCTAGCCATTTTCTTCACAGATTCGATCAGACTGTGAAGCAAACCAGAAGATTACATACCGCATTTCTGGGGTAGGAATTGATCGACCACCTTACGGAGTATTCACCATTAATCCTCGGACTGGGGAAATTAATATCACTTCAGTGGTGGACAGAGAGATAACTCCACTTTTCTTGGTAAGTCACATCAGTGTGTTTTAATTTGTGCATTTTTTCTTCCCTTTTTAAAACACAGCAAAGCTGAGGCGAAATAAAAGGACTGAAGAGACGAAAAAAGTGTGAAAACATAAGTTTATAGTTCAAGAGTGTCTGGTGTGTTGCATTGGTATGCCATCAAATGTCTTGATAATGTTTAAATTAATAAATTGTAATGTAGTCTGAATTCACTAAGTAAATTGTTTCTTTGCATATTTCTTGAAATATTTCTAAGCATATTACTTAATTATCTTCGATTGAAAAAGACAGGTTTTTTTCCACAACTCTCCACAGATCTATTGCCGGGCTCTGAATTCACGGGGTGAAGATTTAGAAAGACCTCTTGAGCTTCGAGTCAAGGTTATGGACATAAATGATAACCCTCCAGTTTTTACACAAAATGTGTACACAGCCAGCATTGAAGAAAACAGTGATGCAAGTAAGTAGATGACACTCCTTCTCTGCATTGTATCACATCAATTTTTTCTTGGTCAAAAGGTGTAGGAAATTGACATACAGGTAGAATTTAAAGATGAGAAAAAGTCAAACTTGTATTTTGAATAAACCCCACAAATTCTAACTTAAAACTGACCTAGATAAAAACATGCTGTCTAAAACACTAAATATTCTCTTGTTTTTGGAGGACTCTCATAGATGTGATTTAGTAGGTGCTTAGTGCCTTCCTTAAAGATTGTTACTGGCTCTTGATTAACTTAATACTAATGAGTAAACTGAAGAAGAAATCATGATATGGAAAAGGGCTCTGTACTGGTCTATTCCTCAAATTCTGGGCTAAAGCACACTAGAGAGTGATGGAGGGTACATCCCAAACAGCACCCATCAGGTTAGTCCTATAGGGTAATCACTGACTCTTCACAGTCTACACAGCAAGCTACCTTACATTCTCTCTCTCTCTTTTTTTTTTTTCATTTTTTCCATCTTGCTTAATTTCATCTCCAGGTCCAATATTCTTTTCTCCCTCTTTCTATCACTTCTCCTGAACATCCTTCCACCCTATGCTTTTCCTGTGTTGGTCTTTTCCTCTGCTCTCCTTCCTTGCCCTCCACCTCTTTCTTTCCCCAATATTCCAATATTCCTTTTCCTCCCATGTCTATGTCTGCATGTGTACCTCTAAATTAGATTTGGAAAAAAGAATAGAAGAAAGAAATTTCAGAAGGCACATAGAAAGCAAACTAAAGATACCGATGAAGAGTCAAAGAAAGAAAAATGGAGAAGTCTAGGGGAAAAGAGAAAGGAGACAAGAAATGTGGGAGCAGAAAAGGAGGGGGTAAAAAGGCAGGAGTCAAGAGGGGGTGTCTGGAGACTCCTTCTGCAGAGGCCCTAAAAACAGTGATGCTGAAAAGAAGAAACACAAAATTTTTATAACATAAAACATAACAGAATGGGAGGACATAACAGAAGTAAAATAAAAGTTTGCTCAAAGGAAGCCAAACAGAGAGGGGGTTTCCAAAGCCCATCATTGTTTCCTCACTAACATCCTTCCACAACCTGGTGAACGGAGAGAAGGTAAAACCCGCATCCAAATGCACACCCGAGTCCACGTACCCCTGGTTGCTGATTAGCAGTCTTGTTCACACTCCCTCATGCGAGGAGAGTCAACCACAGGGCCAGGGCGTATTTTCATAAACTATGAACTCCATGAGAATTGTTTTTTCTATTGAAAGCATCTCTGGTTCTCTGTGTTAGGGTTTTTCACTTTGAAACCTGGCTAGAAAGCAGAAAAACATCAGGGATCATCCAGCTCTGGAAAATCTGTCCTTTGGGCTGATGTCCTTGAGGACTGCCTGGATAAGCATCTTTGATCCTATGAATAATTAAGAACTTTTCCTATTCCTGTGGACAAATCTTTTCAGTAGGTATATGTTTTTGACTATTCAGTAAAGGACTACCATCCTCCAAGGCAACAAATAGTAATTCTCTACTTTCTGGGTAAATGAAAATAAAGAATATAGGTGCTCAATAAATAACCTTAACACTGAATTTAATTAAGTTATACTATTTCTTCCTCAAGCATTTTAAAATAATGTCACACGACCACACAAAAACAAATGGATAAATTCTGCTTTTCAGCTTTATGATTAAGGCCATGGAACTTTTCATACATCAGTGATTAGTTTGCCCCTAATTTACCATTTAATCACTTAAGGACTGGAAGTACTTGAGAAACTGTAAAGGATTTTATAGAAGCAAACCACTATTATTTTTGCAGTCAGTGGTGTAGCTGAAAGTTATGATACTATATTCTCATGGAAACTAAAGCAAAAGAAAATTCAGGGGAAGGACAACCAGTCTTTCTTCCTATGCCTGATGATTTGCTGAACTGATTCTAACAGAATCCCAAACATTCTCCATCTCCATCTTCATTTCTAGACACATTGGTTGTAAAGTTAAGTGCTACAGATGCAGATGAAGACAATCATCTGAATTCTAAAATAGCCTATAAGATCATCTCTCAGGAGCCAGCAGGTGCACCAATGTTCATCCTGAACAGGTATACTGGAGAAGTCCGCACGATGTCCAGTTTCCTTGACAGAGAGGTAAAGCCTTCTATGAATGAATGATAATAAATAAAGAATTCAATTCAAAAGACAAAGATAAAGGAGGGAAGAAAAAATAATCCAACCATGACTTTTCAATGAAAATTATAAAAAGAAAAAAATATATTAAAATATTACATAAAATTATAAAAGGAAATTGGAAGAACAACATTGGGATGTGTTGGATTTCATTAAAAATGAGACCTAAGTCTTACAGTTTTTGTTTTTTTTTTTTATCTTAAGCAACACAGTATGTATAACCTCCTTGTGAGGGGCTCAGATCGAGATGGAGCTATAGATGGACTGTCCTCTGAGTGCGACTGTAGAATCAAGGTTTTAGATGTCAATGATAATTTTCCCACCTTGGAGAAAACTTCTGTAAGTTGTTACCCTATAACCCTTTTTTTCCTAAGTGTCAGTAATTGATTTGATATGTATGGATGGACTCAGCTTTGCCGTGTAAACCTTGGAACTTCTTATGTATACTAATAATATATCTCATTAATCAATAATATTATACTAACTTTGTATGGTGACAGATGGCAACTAGGCCTACTCTGGTGATCATTTCACACTCCATATAAATATCACATTTCTATATTGTACGTAAAACTAAAAATTATATTTTAATTGTATTTCATTTAAAAAAATAATAATATACCTTACTAGTGCATGTTTGCCTTTGAGGCGCTATTCTGTGCAACTTGCACAGACCATCAAAGCAGCAAACCATCTCCTCCATACTCTACTTATAGAAATCTGGGATTTTATTAATCTAAGTCTGGGAATCATGTAACATTATTGATGTATCTTTATAGGCCTAATAATTTACTGAATTAATTCTACAAGAGCCCCAAGCATTTTCAACTTCCATCTTCATCTTTAGGCATAAAGAAGCATAGAATTGAAAATAGCAAGGCCAAATCTGACTCACCACCTATTTTGGTAAAAAAAAAAAAAAAAAAGTTTTATTGGACCACAACTTGACTCATTCCTCTATATGTTGTCTGCAGGTGCTTTGATCCTACAGCAGCAGAGGTAACTAGTTGTAGCATGAACTCCCTGGATCACAAAGCCTAAGATATTACTATTTGACCCTTCAGAGTAAAAGGAGGGAATAACTTAAGAAAAATGAAAAAAAAAATAAGCAAGAAGAATGAAACAAAGTGCCTGTTTGACCTTGATTTCACACACAGAACAAAAAATCAGTTTTATTATCTTATAATCATTTTATTCTTAGATTTATGATTAGAATGTATGTTATTTAATATTGGTGCAAAATTATTGACAGTTTGTTGTTAGTATCTTAAATGACAGTTATATATTAATTAATATCTTTCCCCTTTTGAAACTTTATTGACTATAAAATTGATCTGTCATTTCAGTATTCAGCAACTATTGAAGAGAACTGTCTAAGCTCAGAACTGATACGATTACAAGCAATTGATCTTGATGAAGAAGGCACTGATAATTGGTTGGCAAAATATTTAATTCTCTCCGGAAATGATGGGAATTGGTTTGATATTCAAACAGACCCACGAACCAATGAGGGCATTTTGAAAGTCGTCAAGGTACCGTATGGGATCTGCAACACTTCTAAAGTTTTCAAATACTCTTACAGCCAGAATCTGCCTACAAAAAAACCACACTAGAACCGTGAATACTATTTATGTGGACAAGTGCCATAAATTAGCTCACTATGTCAGTGTGAGACTTGCAGCTCAGCAACATGCTCTTTATTACCAAGAGCAATAGGTAAGGAGGGTGTTTTGTTCTCAAGGTGCTCAGTATCTAGTTGAGAAGACAAGGCATGCACTCCTGAATTCGATAATGAGTTCAAAACAAAGAAGTAGTTGTATAGATGTTATAATGTTAAACATAATTAATGGCCAAATGGGTGATATATGAAATAATTCCTAAGAGGTGAGATCTTTCTGAGCTGGATCTGTCTGAAAAAGTTTCATGCAGAGAAGACAGTTTAGTTTAAGCAAGACTTTACAACTGAGACAGCTAATGTCAAAACTGAAATGAACAAAGACACTGAGGTGAGTAAATATAAAGCATGTTCTGGGTACCATGAGCAATTTTGGGGGCTGCAACAGAGTGTTCATGGAAGGGAGACAATGGGATATAAGAACAAAGTTGCTGAATTAGAGTCGATCTACTGAGAACCTTGAATACTGGAGTAGAGGGTTTGACTTTTTCCTATAACTAATTTTCTTAAACTACTTTATGATTTTAAATTATGGACACCAATAAAACCTAAAAATACAAATTAGAAACAACTAAAACTACAGAACAGTAAGACTCAAATTAACAGTAATGTCTTAAGGGAAATTTTTTCCTCAAACAAAATTACTACTAACAACATAGGCAAAACTTATAGTTATGAAAATATAAACTATGAGACAAATGCACACATTCAATTTGGTACACAGTGTGAGCTGTAATTATTTCATTCTGTTACCACTTTTCTTTATCCCAATTACTATATATCAGGAAGTCATTTGGCCCTCATCTAAAGCAAACACACCATTTCTATATAGAGCCTTTCTCCGTTTTTTTGCAATTGTCTGGAGCAATTAAAGTATTACTTATTTACCTCAAAACCCAACCACCAACACTGAAATCATGTACTGTATTAATTTAGGAAGTAGTCACCAAAATTATGGAAAATATCTATGTATACTTTATAAGATTGCCATTCAAAATTTCAAAATTCCTGAAGAGAACACAAGGACTCTAAGAACACACCAGAGCCTTCCTGTTTGAGAAATATTGCTTTAGGCCATAGGTCAGCAAACTATAGCCCACAGGCCAAATATGACCTGCCATCTTTTTGTACATAACATTTTATTAAAACACAGCCATCATCATTCATTATTATCTATGGCTGTTTCCAACCTCCAGTGGCTGAATTGAATGTTGAAGACAAAAACTGTGTATGACCTCCAAAGCCTAAAACATTTACTATTTGCTCTTTTTTTTTTAATTCTTTTTTTCTTTTTAGATTTTATTTATTTATTCATGAGAGACACAGAGAGGAAGAGAGGCAGAGACACAGGCAGAGGGAGAAGCAGGCTCCATGCTGGGAGCCTGACAGGGGACTGGATCCTGGGATTCCAGGATCAGGCCCTGGGCTGAAGGCAGCGCTAAACCCCTGAGCCACCTGGGCTGCCCCACTATTTGCTCTTAACCAAAAAATTTTACTAATCCCTACTTCTAGACCAAGGGGACATTTTTTTTTTAAACAAATTATTAGCTCAACTCTGGAAAGATTAAAGTTAAGAAAATTATTGTATTAGTGAAGTCCTGAGGTGCTAAGAATCTGATCTAAGGCAACAGCAATAAAAATGGAAATGAGGGAACAAGAATAATAGCCATTGCCAAATTAACATAGATAAGGAAGAGAGAGACAAGAAGTCACCTGCCATCCTATCAAATTCTGAATAGTCAAGTTTGTTTCAGGAATCAGAATTTGTTTAACCTTGCATTTCAGTTAAAAAAATCAAGATCTAGACATGTCGCATAATTCTTACCATTGTTATCATTGACTTAACTTGTTACCTTATAACATATAACTGTTCTTTGCTTTTGGTCTGCCTCCAAATCTACTGAGATAACATAGTAATAACTTTGCATATACACAACTTGATCTAACACTGGACCACTCCTAGCACGTGTTCCAGTGTCCAGAAGATAGTAGAAACTCACAAAAGTTTGAGGATGGTGTGGTTTTCATCCAAATGGAGTTGAGCTTGATTGCATATTGCATAATTTCTAAAAAAGTATAAAAATAAAAAAGAAAACATGTTCATAATGTAGGCAATTATACTATAACTTACATGATGTGTCTTCTGTAAGTGCAAAAAAGTGGAGGTTTTTTAATATACTTAGTTCATCACAAAGAAAAACTATGGGAAATTCAATTTCATGAAAAATTGGTCCATGTATGTTAGATGTTATATAGACAAAGCATCTCTCTTCCTGGATGATAACTTCTCAAGTCTATTAAACAAAGCAGAAAATATGTTTAAAAACATCAAAATAGGGGATCCCTGGGTGGCGCAGCGGTTTGGCGCCTGCCTTTGGCCCAGGGCGCGATCCTGGAGACCCGGGATTGAATCCCACGTCAGGCTCCCGGTGCATGGAGCCTGCTTCTCCCTCTGCCTGTGTCTCTGCCTCTCTCTCTCTCTCTGTGACTATCATAAATAAATAAAATTTAAAAAAAAACATCAAAATAATATGGAAAGGCTAATTAAAATGAAATTTAAAACCTTAGTACGCATGTTAGGACACAGCCAGAAGAACTATGTATTTAGAGAACATATGTGTAATTTCCAGAATTTGGCATTTGGAATGAGGTCACTAATGCCCTCCTGCATCCTCTCCATTTTCACTCAAGCTGCTATTTAACCTTGTGGAAATTAGCCCCTCAGTCATGGGCTTTGACTAAGCTTTCCATAACCCTTTTCTTAGTCTAAGGATATTATAAATGACTCAATTCAACTCAAATGTATTAAGAACTGCTAGGTGTTAGGGATATGAAAGTGAATGAGACATGGTCCTTGCTCTAATTAAATTTGTAGTGTAACAAGAGAAAATATTTAAGAAGATTTTAAAAACTGTCAATAATAACTTTAATAACTTTTTTGGTATTTATCAACAAATGTGTGTGGAAATACTAACAAACAATATAAATGTCTGTGTGTGTGTGCATGCGTGTGTACACACATTTGTTTCAGCATTGAGAAAAAAAGCAAAATATTATCCAGTTGAAATTCTAACAAAGAAATATTCTCTGTTTTTATAATAATTCAAATTAACATTTATTAAGCAGTCAGTAAACACCAGCTAATCAGTTATATTGCATTATAGAGGTTTTACACATATTATTTAATCATCACAACTCTGAGAAGAAAATATTCTGATTCCTTTTTTATAGAAAGTGAAACAAAATCAAAGAGGAAAACTAACCTGTCTTAAGTCCACCCAGGTGGCAAATAACAAAGAAAAGATCCAATCAGAGCTTTTTTTTTTTTTAAGGTTTTATTTATTTATTCATGAGAAACACACACACAGAGAGAGAGAGAGACAGAGACACAGGCAGAGGGAGAAGCAGGCTCCATGCAGGGAACTCGATGTGGAACTCGATCCTGGCACTCCAGGATCATGCCCTGGGCCAAAGGCAGGCGCTAAACCGCTGAGCCACTCAGGGTGGCTCCCAACCAGAGCTTTCTGATTCCAAAAGCATAATTCACTGCCACCTCTGTGCTTCACCATGGAATCTGGGGCCAGTGAAACAAGTCTGAAGCAAGAACTAGAGTCTTGAGACACTTCATCTGTTTACTTCTATAAGCCCCTTCCCAATCATATGGGTCCTGCTAGTCTCTTCCAGACACATTTACACCAGAAAATGTCAATTCCTGAAAAGGAGAACGTACACACCATGGTAGATAATTAACCATTTCCTCAATCCCCTGGCATAGAAAACTTCCTGTTTTGTACACAGACTGCTAATCTCCTCCTCTTGTTCATACTTAATTTTAAAATGAACTGGCATCCCCCTAAGAAATAGCAGGGTCCTATTAACCTAGAATAAGCAAAAACAAACAAAGCCAGATCTATTTCTAGAGGGGTCTTCTTTACCCTGAGCCTCTTGTAGACTCTCTAACACTAGCTCCACCCTTTCTGGCACAGATCTGCATATCCTTTGTGATTATTCTTGTCAGGCCTTAAACTGCAGAAACTGAGGTGTTCTAGCCTCTCCATTCTAACTCCAGACAGGGACTCATGGTTGTTTTTATTGCCTTTTGTTTGTTTGTTTTTACTGCTTTTTGCACAATCCCGATCTCTGTACACAATTGCAAAACTCTTGTTAAAAGTTCCCATTGGCAAAGGATGTAAGAGGCTTTCCGCCTTTCCTCTGCTTTTTTTCTTCCCTATTGGAGGAAGATCAGACCCCAATTTCCTGTCACTATATTCTATGAACATCTATAATTCACATGATGTTATATACACATTAATATATTTTTCACCACACTCCATTCAAAAAGGTAGAGAACTATTCTGACAAACAAGAAGCATATGCACAAAAGAGCCCCAGGAGATCTCTGTACCAGAAGAGAAGATCTTAGATTTTTCAGTTGTTTAAAACAGCAATGGAGTTCTAAAAAATAAAAACTGAGTTATAAGAGAGGGGTTTCTTCTGATTGATAATCTATTTTTGAGTACATCATTCATAGTCAGCTCTGTGCAAGGCATTGTGTGGACCAGGAGGAGGACAGATAAAAAAACCAAAACCCAAACCTGAAGGATTTGAGCTGAAATCTAAGGAAATCATGTTGAGTTGGCCCTAAATAAGGATGCAATTGAATTCCTGTGAATACCTGTATCTTATTAGCTCTTACAAAGAAATTAACAAAAATTGACTGGGAAAATATTTATGATGTCATAGAATTTCCTTGGGAAGCAGAAATTTATCCCAGGGTCTTGCTGATGGCACTGCTATCCTGACTTCTGTTGTTGGTAAATGTGATCCAAGTGGTGCTTACATTAGCTTCCAGAACACTTCTAACCAGACTTTGTCCAGGACTCCTTTTTTCCACAACTATTTTTTCATGTGTTGTACAAGAGGGAACTCTCTTCCAATTGAAAATCCATTTTTTAGTACACTGTTCACAGTCAGCTCTGTGCTGAATTTTTGGTGGTGACCTTTCAAGTCACCACATCAATCATTCTGGATCAAAAGATTTCATTCACCTTTTATCCAAAGAACCCATTTCAAAGGTGACTTTTCTCCAGGAGACGTATTTACTTATTTGAATGAGGACTGTGAAAAAAATCTTTTAATCCACTAGACCCAACACAACTAAATTATAGTTTCTAACTACGTATAATAATCATGAATTTTCCTTTAGAAGTTGTTTGCATCATTTTTTAATAAAATTACACCTTCAATTACATCACACATATTGGCTCCTTTATTCTGCTGATTTTAAGAGATTCTCAGATGTGGATTCTACAAAGAAAACCTGAGTCCTATTTATTCATTCACCAGTTGTAAACCCCTTTTTATTTCATTCTAAATTTATTTTTTATTTTTCTCATTTGGAAAGAGATCATTTTTGACTTCACAGTTATTATATAAGAAGTTTAAAACTCCAGGATTGGAGTCCAACTTAAGTCACAGGCCTAAATGACTTATATACCTGATAAGGCCACGAGATAAAGGGAACAACATGTCCGAGGTATCTGATGCAGTAATAAAAGTTTTATCAATTCAAAATCTGAATTACATAGCTCCATGACTTTGCTATAGTGTGTTGATTTCCTATCATGGCTACTTAGTCTATCAAAAGAGAGTCCTTTCGCTGTTTTAGAGTTTTTTACTTTCTATCATTTCAGATGCTGGATTATGAACAAATGCCTAATATTCATCTTGGTATCGGAGTTAAAAACCAAGCTGAATTTCACCACTCAGTGGCCTCTCGATTCCAAATGCACTCAACCCCTGTGAGAATTCAGGTTGTTAATGTGAAAGAAGGACCCGCATTTCATCCAAATTCTATGATTTTCAGTATACGGGAAGGGATAAGAGGAAATTCCTTATTGAATTATGTGCTTGGCACATATAAGGCAATAGACTTGGACACGGGAAATCCTGCCACAAATGTCAGGTACCACAAACACTATGCTCATGTCAAAGTGATAAAATGCAGTTTGGTCCAGTGTTAGCTCATATAGAATCTGCTAGACTATGTGAGTTGAAATGCTTTTTGAGTTTTGCTTTGCTTCTCTTGTTCATTTGCTTGTTTTAAAACATTTTTGTAGCACTGACATTTTCCCAAGATTTTAATAGTAGTTTAGAGACAATATGGCCTCCAACTGGTTACAAAGGTCATTGTGTCCAGGGAGAAAGAATAAGGTCAAAGGGCTACCTAAGAGACTCTATGAATCTCTCTAATCTTTTGTGGCCATTTGTTACCACCCTGACCCCAGGCTGACTAAGCTGTATTGTAAACTATGAGACATAAAAGATGAATCACTGCTTGTTTCCTTAACACCTGTGTTATCAAAAAAAAAAAAAAAAAAAAACAAACACCTGTGTTATCTAATGACTTTGGAGCTAATTTCAACCACCAGCTTAATTTAAGAGGAAGAAAAAAGATAACAGAAGAAGCCAAAACACAGGTGTTCCAGAAATTTGAGTATAAAGGAAGTCAGAATCGGAGAAATAGAAAGGTAGGCATTAGGGGCACTAGGTAGACAGATTATACATGAATTACATTTAATTACAATATACTCTAGAAAATTACTCTAGTGAAATATGTAAGCATTCTCTACATCCTTTGCTTATCTCTCTTCCTCCTCCTAATATTTTTGGAGTGAACAGTCTATTGACTTGTAAATTACTTTAATATCAACAGTTTTGATTACTTAATAGGCTAACAAATTGACAGACAACAAAAATCATGAAGTCTATCAGTATGGGATAGAGGAAAAGGATGTGTCAGATAAGTGCTTTGGACACTTGAAATTGTGCGTGATACAGAGGCTAGATCTTCTTCCACTAAGGTCAAGCACTTTGAATCAATTGTATTATTATATTATGTTATATTATATTATATTAATATAATACCATAACCCTAACAGTCTACCAGTGAAGTACCCTAAAACTAATATGCCTTAAAAATCTAGGAAAAACAAAGTACATCACATGTGAAAATGAATAAAGGATATTCCCTCAGTAGGTATTGCTATAATAAATAAACCTAAAAGAGATTCATACATTTTACTAACAATTAGAGTAAGAACTAGAAGAGTAAGAATTATGAAATTTTTTTTTAGAATTATGAAATTTTAAAACACTGTTGTGAACCTGTGTTTACTATGTTCAACACTAAAATTTTATTTTTTTTTATAAATTAATTTTTATTGGTGTTCAATTTACCAACATACAGAATAACACCCAGTGCTCATCCCGTCAAGTGTACCCCTCAGTGCCCGTCACCCATTCACCCCCTCCCCCCACCCTCCTCCCCCTCCACCACCCCTAGTTCATTTCCCAGAGTTAGAAGTCTTTATGTTCTGTCTCCCTTTCTGATATTTCTCACACATTTCTTCTCCCTTCCCATATATTCCCTTTCGCTATTATTCATATTCCCCAAATGAATGAGAACATACACTGTTTGTCCTTCTCCGGTTACGTGGCCAAGTTCAAAAAGGGTGTTGCCTGAGTTCTTCTCTGGGATTTTGATGGAATCTTGTCTCACATTTAGATCTTTCATCCATTTTGAGTTTATCTTTGTGTATGGTGCAAGAGAGTGGTCCAGTTTCATTCTTCTGCATGTGGATGTCCAATTTTCCCAGCACCATTTATTGAAGAGACTGTCTTTCTTCTAGTGGATCGTCTTTCCTCCTTTATCGTATATTAGTTGAGCATAAAGTTCAGGGTCCACTTCTGGGTTCTCTGTTCTGTTCCATTGATCTATATGTTTGTTTTTGTGCCAGTACCACACTGTCTTGATGAACACAGCTTTGTAGTACAACCTGAAATCTGGCATTGTGATGCCCCCAGATATGGTTTTCTTTTTTTAAAATTCCCCTGGCTGTTTGGGGTCTTTTCTGATTCCACACAAATCTTAAAATAATTTGTTCTAAGTCTCTGAAGAAAGTCCATGGTATTTTGATAGGGATTGCATTATACGTGTAAATTGCCCTGGGTAACATTGACATTTTCACAATATTAATTCTGTCAATCCATGAGCATGGAATATTTTTCCATCTCTTTGTGTCTTCCTCAATTTCTTTCAGAAGTGTTCTGTAGTTTTTAGGGTATATTTTGAGACCCATTTGAATGGTAAATGGTTCTCCAACCTTTTATTTTCAGGTTGTAGGTGTCCTTCTGTCTAAAATGAGTCTCTTGTAGACAGCAAATAGATGGGTCCTGTTTTTTTATCCAGTCTGAAACTCTGCGCCTTTTGATGGGGTCATTAAGCCCATTCACGTTCAGAGTTACTTGAGCTTCTTCTTAAAGGGGAGTTTTAAGAGTCCCCCTTAAAATTTCTTGCAGAGCTGGTTTGGAGGTCACATATTCTTTCAGTTCCTGCCTGTCTTGGAAGCTCTTTATCTCTCCTTCTATTTTGAATGAGAGCCTTGCTGGATAAAGTATTCTTGGTTGCATGTTCTTCTCATTTAGGACCCTGAATATATCCTGCCAGCCCTTTCTGGCCTGCCAGGTCTCTGTGGAGAGGTCTGCTGTTACCCTAATATTCCTCCCCATGAAAGTCAGGGACTTCTTGTCTCTTGCTGCTTTAAGGATCTTCTCTTTATCTTTGGAATTTGCAAGCTTCACTATTAGATGTCGAGGTGTTGAACGGTTTTTATTGATTTTAGGGGGGGATCTCTCTATTTCCTGGATCTGAATGCCTGTTTCCCTTCCCAGATTGGGAAAGTTTTCAGCTAGGATTTGTTCAAATACATATTCTGGCCCTCTGTCCCTTTCGGCGCCCTCGGGAACCCCAATTAAACGTAGGTTTTTCTTCCTTAGACTGTCATTTATTTCCCTTAATCTGTCTTCATGGTCTTTTAATTGTCTCTTTTTTCCTCAGTTTCCCTCTTTGCCATTAACTTGTCTTCTATGTCACTCACTCATTCTTCCACCTTGTTGACCCTCGTCGTTAGGACTTCTAGTTTGGATTGCATCTCATTCAATTGATTTTTAATTTCTGCCTGATTGGATCTAAATTCTGCAGTCATGAAGTCTCGTGAGGCCTTAATGCTTTTTTCTAGAGCCATCAGTAGCTGTATAATAGTGCTTCTGAATTGGCTTTCTGACATTGAATTGTAATCCAGATTTTGTAACTCTGTGGGAGAGAGGACTGTTTCTGATTCTTTCTTTTGAGGTGAGGTTTTCCTTCTAGTCATTTTGTTCAGTGCAGAGTGGCCAAAAACAAGTTGTATTGGGAAAAGGAGAGAAGGAAAGAAAAGAGAAAAAGAAAAAAAAAAGGAAAAAAGGAGAAGAAAAAGAGAAAGAAAAAGAAAGAAAGGTGAAAAAAAAGGGGGGTGGGGGAAGCAATCAGAAATCAAAAAGAAAAGAAAAAAGAAAAACAAACAAACAAACAAACAAAAAAAATACGGGGGAGTATCTTCTGAATCTGTAGACTTTAAGTCCCTTGACTTCCCTGGAACTGGTCCGTCCAGCTGGTCTTCTGGGGGAGGGGCCTGTTGTGCTGATTTTCAGGTGTTAGCACTTGGGGGAGCTGCTCTGCCCTTGCCTGCTGCAGGGCTCAGCGGGGGTTGTTTACCCCGTGAGGCCCCAGGAGGCACAACCCCAGTGGTGGGGCCAGCTCTGGAGCCCTGGATCAGCCCCCACAGGAACTACGGGGCTCTCCTTCTGCAGGGCCTGGAGGCTCCGGGGCGGGGCGCTGATCTGCTCAGCTCGGGGCAGGAGCGTCCTCGCTGTCCTGGGCCCTCCCGGCCTCTGCCTGTCCCAGGGGAGGCCGGATCCTGGGCTGTGTCCCGGCGCCCTGTGCTCCGGGGCCTGCGCTGGTGGATTCGCGCTCCCGCCCCGCAGCCCCCTCCGCGGAGCCGCCGCCCGAGCCCCTCCGAGCTGCTCCGGTCGGTCCCTCCGTGCGCGCTGCAGCCCTTAGGGAGCTCGGAGCACTCCCCTGCGCTCGCAGGTGTCTGTTAGTGTCCCAGGGAGCCCGAGGGCATCCCCGCCCTCCTGGGTCCTGCTCCAACTCCCTGCGAGCCCCTTTCCGCCCGCCCGGGAAGGTTGGTGCAGCTCCTGCTCCTCCGGGACGGGACGGGGCTCTCCTGTCCTGGGGACACTCGCCCCGGCCTCAGCCCGGCTCCTCCGGGGCCCCTCCCCCTCGGAGGCCTTTTGTTCCTTTATTTCTTTTTCCCCGTCTTCCTACCTTGATAGAAGCGCGGACTCTTCTCACTGTAGCATTCCAGCTGGTCTCTCTTTACATCTCAGGCCGAATTCGTAAATTTTCAGGATGGTTTGAAGGTTATCTAGGTAATTTGGTGGGGACAGGCGATTTGGGGACCCTGCTCTTCCGCCATCTTGCCCCTCCCCCCAACACTAAAATTTTATTGATATATATACATTTTATAAATCAAGGCAATTATCACTTGTTTTTTACATTCAAGCACCATATTTATGTTTAATACATTGTATGTAACTTAAAATTATAAACTTTCATATGAGCAAATGATGAACTTATTTATTTCACAACAGGTATGTCATAGGACATGATGCAGGCAGCTGGTTAAAAGTAGATTCAAGGACTGGTGAGATAAAATTTTCTAGGGAATTTGATAAGAAGTCAAAATATATTACCAATGGGATATACACAGCAGAGATCCTGGCTGTAGATGGTAAGAAAATTTCTTTTCAATATTTTAGTAAAATTATTGTTTCATTAAATATAAATATGATTTTAATATAGATATTAGATTGACTCAAAATATATCATGTAGTGTATCTGTATGCAAAACTTATAGAGAGTTCTAAATACCCTAGATTAAGAACTGAACTCAGTACACTCATAACCATAATTTACATTTAAATCATAATTTATTTTACCTACTTCCAAAAAAGAACTTTATGTGATATACAGCAGAAAGCATAAAAGGTTATGTCTATAAGTAAAACTCAGTTTCTGCTTATGGCCTCATTTCTTGAGATGATTAATCCAACTTTCAGAGTGTGTTAGAAATGTTTATGTAAAGGAAGTGCTAACGAGGTATACACAAAGTTCATTTGGAGATGATCTATCGGAAAGCAATGTCTCCCAAAGACAAGGGTTAGTTTAAGGATTTTTTAAAAACATTTTTTATTTATGACAGAGAGAGAGGGAGCACACGTGTAAGCCCGTGGGGGTGGGGGACGAGCCAACAGAGAGGGACAAGCAGTCTCCGCGCTGAGCTTGGAGTCCCAGGTGGGGCTCTATCTCAGGACTCTGAGATCATGACCTGAGCCAAAACCAAGAGTCAGATGCTTAATGGACTGAGCCACCCAAAAGTCTAGTTATTTTACAACCACTAACACTGAGCTACAATGAGAGGCCTATGTAAGTGCAGCTTAAATGGACATGTTGTCCAAAGTATAAAGCACAAGATAGAAAGAGCAAATTAAAGATATAAGATCCAAATTAAAAGCCCAAAGTGCAGATGCACTGAACTTGTAACTGAGCTGCTTCTCATGTGGGAAAATCCATTAAGGATTCTTCTTGGTGAGTGCAACAGGAAGTTATTTATCAATAGTTAAGCATTCTCTGAACAGTATCTAGGAAACCAGCTACTACAGGAAAAAAAAAAAAAACAGCAAAAGGTCAGGATCCAGGAAAGAAGAGAAAAAAACAGGTGTTCCAGATGTATACCTAATAGAAGATAGATACTATAGGTTTATATTATTTATAACTGGGCCTTACAGTAGCCAAAGAAAAAGATAAGGAGGCAGTATAAGATTTAAAAAGAAACCATGATAATACCCAAGTAATTTATGGTCCATACATTCTGTTCTTCATTCTGGGAGTGTCACTTTTAACAGCTGGGTCTGTTATAAAAATAGTATAGTCTTATTTATTATCAGTATTCTAGAAAACCTTTTCCTATAATGGATTCTAATCCTATTGATCAATGCCTATGTTTGCATACTGGTCATATGTGAATATCTTCAGAAACTAGAATAAAGGGCAATGCTCTTGGGACCCCTCTCACTCCTGAGAGCTTTTACCGTGTCTCTGCTTAATAAACTCCTATCACTTTGCAAAAAAAAAAAAAAAAAAAAAAAGAAAGAAAGAAAGAAAGAAAGAAAGAAAGGAAGGAAGGAAGGAAGGAAGGAAGGAAGGAAGGGGAAAAAAGAAACTAGAATAAAAATTAGTCATCAAGTGAATAAAGAGGGAGGAAAAAACTACCAAAATGTTTAACAGCAAACTAAAAACAAGGGCTATTGTTTATGTACCTATGCAGAGTATCTGCACAGGTATAAGCCATCCAGATGGAAAAGTAAACTAAAAGCCCAGATTCCTATTTCTTGGTCCTCTGCCCATTCTCATAAAGTATATTAAGCCAAAATTTGTTTCAAGTGGGTGAGGAAAAAATTTAATAGATTTCTGTTTTTTTTCAGAAGTGCCGTTTCACAGAGAAATAGCATCCAAGGGATGGCATTTAAATTAAAAAAAAAAACATAGCAAAACGGAAAGAAAAAATATACAAATAATCATTTCATTTCAACTGTGGTTATTTTCCTACAAGCACAGAGCTCAATAAGCATCCGAATGGAAGGCTGGCGGGGAGTCTCGTTCATGGGGACAGGATAGGAACAGAAAGCTGTGAGGCTTCTCTGAATGACATTTACTTTTGCATCTTGGGATGTGTAGGAGTTGGGTGAATGAAATTGAGATGAAAAACATTTTGGGAAGGATGAATAGTGTGCACAAGAGTCCTGGGTTAGGAAGAAACTTGTTCCAAAAACTAAAAAGAAGCCAGTGTGGCTGGAAGGTAGTGGCTTTGGGTCATTGAAATAAGCAGGAACCCATCATGTACCACCTCAGGAGTTACACATGCTATTCCTCTATGTTGTGGCATCATTATGGAATATAAGAATTTAAAAAAAAAAGAATTTTTTGCCTCACACCATGTACTCCAACACCTATGATGCTCTGCTGTTTCAGATGGCTCTGGGAAAACAGCAACAGGAACCATATGTATCGAAGTTCCTGATGTCAATGATTATTGTCCAGTTGTTTTTGCTGAAAGTGAATACATATGCATTGACTCTCCATCGATCCTTATCTCTGCAAGAGACATTAGTGATCATTCTTATGGGTCTCCCTATACCTTCTGTGTTGTTGATCAGCCACCAGGGACAGCAGACTTATGGGATATCAAACCAAAAAATGGTAAGTGAAATGCAAACTTGCTCATCTTCAAGGCCAAAAGCAAAAACAATTACTAAATCCTTAGGCAAGACATGTAACAATACTTTCTATCTCTGTTTCTGTGATTCTATGCCATATTCATAGTAAATGAGAAAAATCTCTCATATTAACACTTAGGATATTTGGAAAATTCTTAAACTGAAATAAAATTTAAAAAGTTTTATCGGTAATTTTTATGCACAATTACAAATAGTAATATGTAAATATCAGTTTACCATTTTATATACATGGGGTACTAAACCAATATTTGGTCAGTTTGAAATAAACAGAACCCTTGACTAACTCACCATATGTCATAACCCCCTATTCTGAATTATTTCAGGCAAATCACTTAAAAATTTCTGAAACTCAAGTATCCCATATCTACATATTTTCTGCTCGGGTACACATAAGATCAATGAAATTCTTTTTAGAAAGAGTGGTAAGCTTAAACTTTTCCTAAAGGTAAAAATTTAAATCCAAATTGCTCAAAATGAAAAGAATGGTTAAGCAAACAGTAGTACACATTATTAAGATGTAGTACATACAGCATTAAAATTAGAATTACATGAAGCTTTTAGATACAAAGAAACACATAAGCCATAGTATTTAAAGAGTAAAGATCTCCAGGTAGTATATGCGCTTGTGCTAACCACTGCTTTGTAAAAATGAATGCCTGAAAGTACTGAGAGTAAATATCAGACTACATAATGTTTACATACTTAGGTTCTACTTCCCAGAGATGTTAAAAGTGTAATAGAAAATAAAATGCTATAAGAGGACCTGATTTGGGTTACAATAGCTCTCTAATTTCATATTCACTTGAGGCAACAATAAAAGATTTTTAGAGGGTGATGGGATGGAGATCCAACCTCAGAGCCCAAGGTGAGAGGAAATACTTGCCATCTCTCCAAGACCACTGAGGTTCTCCACTCACAGAATGAAGAAATGCTAAAATGATGCCAAAAAGAAAAAGAAAAAAAAAAAAGAGCCACACTTAAGCACTTAATAAAAAGAGGAAATTAGGCAACTTGTTTTCATAATAAAACTTTTGGCTCTTTTCCACAAAACCACTTTAATATTTTAAAAAGCTAAGCACATTAAAGTAACTCCATTAAAATCAAAACAACTTTGAATTCACACTTCCTATAAAGCCTAATATCCCATTCTTAAATAACAACTGTCAAATACCTTTCCTCATTAAGATCCTAGATATTATGAGTAAAAACATTTTTAAAAAGGTTCAATGTGGAAGTTCATAAAGGTATTCAAATTATAGATTTGCCAATAAAAATATAATCACACTGGAAAAAAATATTTCTAGGGGGGTCCTGTGTTGGTGTTAAAGAACAGAATAAACTTTCACCTAATGTGCTATGGCATCATACATGTTATTCAACTCTTGCCTTGTGCACAGGTGCATTTTATTAGACACAGTTGGCTTATTACATAGCTAAATGAAATGAATAAACCATAATATTTATAATTATGGCACGTTATAGATTAATCAATTAATATTCATGATTTAGGTATAAACTTAATAATCTCTAAACCCTTGGGTTTGTAAATAAATTTCAAGCTATGTATTAAGCAATAGTTTCTATGCAAATCAATAGGCAATGGAAGCACAAAGAATTAGGAAAATAATAGTTATTCGAATAATTTAAATTTAAATGATACAACAGCAACTTTGAATAAGAGATCATCAAGTGTCTTAAGGAGGTATTTGCAAACTGTAATCCTAAATAGAAGATTTCTAGTATTTCCTTGCAGCTCGATAATTCTTCATTCATTGGACAAATAGTTATTGACTGCCTATAACATGCCAAATATTGTTGGTCCAGAAAATAGCAACAGGGTCCCAGCCTGCTTCAGAAAAATAACAATTCAGCAGGAAGAAGTATTGGACAATTCATTATAAACATTAAAAAAAAAAGTGTAGGGTGCTGTATGACTAGGGGAACATGGAAAAACCAAGCCCTAGGTTAGTCTTGGGTATTAAGAAGGGTCACCCAAAAGGAATTTCAATTTATTTTTTCTTTCCTCTCTTCTTTTTCAGCTACCTTCGCAATCCTGACAGCTAAGCAGCGTTTAAGTCCCATGCTCTACCAAATCCCAATCATCGTGAAGGACAGCTATAACCGAGCATGTGAATTGCCACAGATTGTGGTGTTAGAAGCCTGTGATTGTGACAACGACCACATATGCTTGTACTTTAGTACCACGGGCATCAACACAGGGGATGGCAGCTCAGTTACCAGCGATATATACGGGTCTGTCACTGATGACCAACTTGGGAGTTCAAATGTTGGTCTCGGACCAACAGGGATTGGCATGATCGCTCTGGGACTCCTACTACTACTTTGTAAGTACTGGATTGAATCCCTCTTTTCAGCCATTCATCAAAATAAGAATGTAACTAGGCTCACTGTTGTGACTAAATTTGTTTGGCCATTTCCTTTTGGTAGCTATAGCAATTCTTGCAGGAATTTGGGGAAAAAAAAACAGTGGAACCAATTAGAGCATATACTTGTTCAATAATGATAAATAGAGTTAGGGTGGGTCATAAAAATGAAAAACACAAGCAAATGTCTAAGAATAATGTAGCAAAACATAGAGTAAATCCCATCATGAGAATTTCAGCAAAGTGCTGAAAAGAGAGGTAGAAGCAATTCAAGTCCAAGTGGGAAGGTTGGTAGTCTTCATATAGAAACTGGCTTTGGCCCAGGCCCTAAAAGCTAAAGATTTTCTTAGAAGGAGGATGGTATCTGGGGAAATCTGAAAGGAATAACACAAACATAAACAAGGAGAGGGATGGAAAGGCATTGGACACTCAGGAAGTAGATAAGCTAAAAGGTAAGCTAGGAGCCATAAAGCAGGAAAGTTCATGATAAGCCAAACATTCTGGGCTTCAGTCCACAGTTGAGAAATCAGTGAGGATGTATAGGATCAGGTGACCTCTTCACTCTAGTATAACAGGAAGTGGGGAGAAGAGCCTAGAAGAGAAAATTTGCCTCTAGACTCTTGATAGAAGTGTTTGCAACTAAAACCATGGTCATAGGAATGGTGAGGTCCCTAAGCAAACACTGCAAAAAGAATCCTCCTCTCCCTATACCATTTTTTAAAGCATGTAGATCCTCAGAAGACTAATACATTTTAGGCTTCCCCTGCAATACTTAGGGTTTGTGGAAATCAAAAATTGAATTCTAAAATTAAAGATGACTAAATCCTTCAAAATATAATATTAATATGTTTCAATGGATAAGTACACACTGAAACATTATCACTTTGAGGAATGAAAAAATAACAAATGAGTTTGGGGCAGACTTTCCTTCTTAAAACAATATGAATTTTTAGGATTATATCAATATCACAAGTGATTATCATAATGATACTAGAGATATTTTCCCAGAACATGACAATAGCAAATGAGTCAAGGTGTCAGCTTGCCTTTAAGCCAGCGGTTCTCAATCCTACCTGCACATTGGAATCACTGAAGATCTTTAAAATTAATCATGTTCAAGCAGAAGTACTCAAGATGACACCAAGTTGTGGCACGTCTGGTGAAGCTAATGTACAGTTCATGGGAAAAAAATAATAAAAAATAAAATTAAAAAAAAAAAACAGAATCAGCTGCATTCTCAGTGGACTAGCACTCAAAATTTCATGACTCTTCCTTAACCAGGCCAAGAGAGCATAAGAGTTGTTAAGTTGATTGTAGAATAGAAAGGGTATACCCTTTTGGTCAATTATTTGTTTTCACTGGAGAAAACCAGGCTGTGTTATGGAGGAGGAGAAGCAGTGTTATGGTGAGAGGAGGGGTCCCTGCCCAAAACATTTTCTCAAAGGGCCTTCATTTAAGACTTCTGATGTTTGCTCTGAGATTAACTACTTCAATGAAATCAATAAAAGTCCTATTTAGCAGCTTTGTTATTTTCTTCCATACCTCTAATTAACTCAGTGGAATGCATGTTACACTAGGGAATTAGAAGAGTATAAAAAAATCAACTAGAGTGGACCCAAAGAACTAAACTGAGCGTATTCTAGAATCTTAGAAAACTTAAGAAATGTCTATATTTATGGATTAAAGTGTAGAGTTGAGGTAAATTTTTCATTATAGTTTATAGACAAAATCTTAAAATAAATATAAATGGCTCAATTAAATTTAGTGGGTGATATCTAGTTGATTTTAAGTGTAAATATAAGGGTAGAAGAGACCTATTTCTAGGTCCTATAGCTGAAATTTGTATTCAATCTTTTTGATAACATATATTGATTATGCACTTAACTTATACATATATACGTGATGTTTGGTTACATGGGTTTGTATATATTGGTTTTTATATGGATATGCAAATGTACACACACACATATACACAGAGACAGTCTATGTGTATGTATATACCATATCCAGGTACCTACAAATACACATACTCTTGAGGATAAGTATATATTTATTCATATGTATATATAGGCTAGCAAACACATATACATACACAGACAATTATATGTGTGTACATGGGGGACTAGGAAATCAGAAAACTGGATTTGAATCCTGGATCTGCATCTTATTTTCCTGATCTATCAGTAAAGAACCCTGATTATGTGATCTCAAATTCCTTTCAGCCCAGCATTCAAAGTCTGTGATTTGGTGATTTTATATTCATAAACATGGATGTGTATATATTCAATCCTTTAGGAAATGCTTTCCTACATTTATATTTATCCCTTTGGTTCTAAATAGAATGCTGCATTTTTCAAAAAAGGATACTTTTAATGACTTCCTAAATTGAGCAATATGTGTTAACTCTCTTTCTACTTTCTTGGGTAGTGTCACCACTCTTGCTGCTCATGTGTTGCTGCAAACGAAGACAGCCCGAAGGCCTGGGGACGAGGTTTGCTCCTGTGCCAGAGGGAGGTGATGGAGTGATGCAGTCTTGGAGAATCGAAGGGGCCCATCCTGAGGACAGGGTGAGTGGACTGTCATGTTCCAGAGAAGTGTGGGGTTTCAATGGGATTATGCATGTCTTGACAATTATATGAGACATAAAAATAAAAGTATGTCAATTTTTATATGTTTAACATAAAGCATTTATTTTAAAAATATTTTTCTTTCTTTTCAGGATGTGTCAAATATATGTGTACCAATGACAGCCTCTAATACCCAGGATCGTATAGATTCTTCTGGTCAGTGGACACCAAAATCTGTTTTTCTTTTTGAAATTTGCAAAATTATCCAACCAGATAAATTTCATGTAAAAGTAATTTTTTTAAATAAACAGTATACCTGCCAAACTTTTTGGAGGAGATTATAATGAGAGGAAAAGTTACGTTTGAAATCAGCATTCTCTTTTTCTTAAACTATAGGCAGTGCAGTATGGTGCAGCAATTAAAAAGGCAAACTCTAGAACCAGAATATTTGAGTTTGATTCCCAGTTATGTTCTTGGGCCAGCACTTAAACTCCCTGGGCCTCAATTTCCTTATCTTTGAAAATGAGGTTATGATAGTCCCTACTTCAAAGTGTCATTGTGAAGAGTGACACACACAAATATACACATATTATGTATGCTATATAATGTATTATATATTATATAATTTATGTTTTATATGTATATGTGTGGTATGTGAATAAATATATCACAAAATATACACGCATACAAATACATATAAAATATGTATATGTATCACAAAATATACTTTAGAATAGTATATTCTAAGACTATAAGAATAGCCTTACACAGAGTGCTACTGTAGCCATTATTTGTAACAAAAATAATAATAAAAGAAAAAGCAGCAAATATATTCTTCTAATATACACTGAAGAATTTTCTTAAATCCACATATGCATTTGCCTCACCAGCCTTATATTCTCCTAGTTTATCAGTTCTATGTACATCTAAGAATACTATAAAAATACCCAGCTAGTGACCAATGACTGAACAATATAGAGAGGTTGCCCAGTTCTAGAGCAGACATGAGATTTCTCAGCAGTGGCTCCTTAGTGTCCCAAACTGGACCCTGGATGCAAAGAGCCTAAGGTGGCTGGCCACTCCTCGAAAAGCCAGCTGTCCCTCTAGTGTTGGGGTGAATGAGGACTGTGCCTGTTTCTGCTGGCCTTGCAGTGGAGGGTTCCTGGATGGGTGCAAGCCCTCTCTGACCTGCCCAAGCAGCAGGGCAGAGGTCCTGCTCCTCTTGGCTAGTTCTCCACCTGAGTCTAGGGGAGAAGCTTGTGCAAATGTGGGGCCACGTGCGAAAGCTGGCTCCCTCTGTACCGCTTACTTACTTTTATTGGCAAGCCTGAGACTGGGTAGAATTTGGATGGCTCCCAGCCTTGCTTTCCAGAACCTACTCATGTTGTGTGGTGGTGGTGGTGTGACACAGCAGACAGTGGCTGGCAGTGTTTTACATGAATGATCTGTGCAGACCCCTCAAGCACTGTTTCCCGAACACTCTCTCCTTTCAGAAATCTACACTAACACCTACGCTGGTGGAGGAACAGTTGAAGGAGGTGTGTCAGGAGTGGAACTCAACACGGGGCTGGGGACAGCTGCCAGTCTGGCCATCGAAGATGCAGCAGGAGCGCGGCGGAGGAGGAGTTCCACTATAGGAACTCAGTGGGAATATGCAGATATGGGCCTGAACATGGCTTTCTTGGACAGTTATTTCTCTGAGGTAATCCCCCTGCACATGGCCCCACAAAATAGTCTTGGACTGAATGATAACATTCAGCAGATTCTTTTTTTTTTTAAGATTTTACTTATTTATTCATGAGAGATACAAAAAGAGGCAAAGACATAAACAGAGGGAGAAGCAGGCTCCCTGCGGTGGGGGGGGGGGGGCAGGGGGGCTGATGCAGAACTTGATCCTGGAACTCCAGGATCACACCCTGAGCCAAAGGCAGATGCTCAACTGCTAAGCCACCCAGGCATCCCAACAGGTTCTTCTGAAATATATTCAGTTATTCTCAAGTCTATCCCCATCCTGAATAAGAAGTATTTCATTTCTCCTTAAAATACAGAAAGGCAATGCAGCCAAAAACATTTCGTATTCAACTGACATACTCTATTTTAATATTGTGGAAAAGGCTAGCATCCCTCATTGTTCCCTACTTCTCTTTTCCTATTTTTCTGTCTTCTGTTTCCTTCTGGTTTTCCCCCTTTGTTTCCCATAGCAGCAGCAAAACAGGAGGATTCTGATCAAGAAGAAAAAAAAAATGTGTATCCATGTCCTCTCCTTATGGTGTCCTTCCTGCCTTGCAAGTACCTCTAATAGAAAAGAGGAAAAAAAAAAAAGAAATTAAAGCCAGGACTGGGGAAGGAAGAGAATGGTAACTCAGGAACAGAGCACTGCCATGACTTGCTGATAGATCAAGATCCAGAACCCCTGTCCCTATTCTCCCATCACCAAGGATATGTGTCCCCCAGTTAGAGAAGGGATCATGGGTCTATGAGCATTCCAAAGAAAGCTCCATAGGAATTGGATTGGCCTAACAGAGTAGCACAAAGAGTAAATAAATCCCCTGTGAATCTCTATTTAGTATGTTTATTTGATTTAACTAGAAATCCATTTCATTTTAGAGTTCAACTAGCCCATTTTACTCCCTATATGGTAATACATGAATTTTACCATAGCTCTTAACAAAACAAAACAAAACAAAAATGCTAAGGATGTTGTTGTAATTCTAAGCTATTTCTTAAAATTGGTGATTACAAATACTACTGCAGACTATCCATGAATAGCATCGATTATTTAAATGAGTGACTACTATCACTGAGTACACTCGATATATGGGCACAAATTATATATGTATCATAGAAATGTCACAGAAATTTTATTTAACAAATCATTCATAAAAATCACACTAATAATAAAAGAGCTTTACCATTAATGTAAAAATTGCACTGGGCATTCTTTCCTTTGGTTACAATTGGTGCCTGATAGGTCAAATAAATTCAAAACGTGTTCTCCTTTCTCTGTGAGCACTGAGGTTCATCCTTCCCCAAACATATCAGCTCTACACTTTAAAAATGGCCCTAGATTTCAGAGGTGATGAGATGCAGCCTCTCCCTCTACTAGGTGAAACCTGCAGAAGAGTGCAGTGCTTCTTTTTTTCTGTTTTACACCACCACACCCCTACAGCCAACTTGTGCCCCAGGCAAGAGGGGATTATTCTCTTACTAAGGTGTCGACTTAAAAATATTAAACAGCAAAGTTCTAAGGTAATACCAAACTCATGAAGAATTGATTTCAAGACTTAAAATCATTTCTAATGCTAGAATTTAGAGTCTAGTGCAGACCAGAGGGTAAGGAGCATGATGTAGTATAAAAAGGATAGTTGAATTTCAGGTAGCCTTCTACAATTATTTGAGTCTCGGGCATTCCATTCACTCTCTCTGGGCCTTCGACTACCTTATTTATAACATAGAAAGGAGGTAATATTATACCAGGTCCCGTGGGATTTCGTGGAACCCAACAGGGACCATGGCAACTGAGGGAAATCGGGGAGAAAACTGGCAGCCACCTCACCTCTTCAGAGAAGTTCTCTTTCATCTCTTCTACATAGAGGACTCCTACCTAAGATTTCATTTAAAGGGGCTGTCATTAAAAATAATTTGAAAATCATAGTAGGTATCATCCTAGTGTTTTTTTGCTGTCAACCTAACTCCAAAGTCAGCTTGGCTCTCTTCGTCTAGTTCACATAAAACCACTGAACATTCAAACATAAGTCTCTGGAGCTTAAAGATACTGACATCTTCATACATGCTTTTATTCTAAGTTGATAAAATTTCTCTCCTTAAGTAAATAACATGTTGAACATAACTAAATATATTTTGTTATTTCTAGAACATATCAGAGAAACAAAAGACTATAAATCCAAAAGACTAAAACCTCGTCTTTGATAAATCCAGATTGTCAAAATCTGAATAAAATGTAGAAATTATTATGTTAGCTTTCAAATAAGAGCAGTTCACATTTATTCAAGTTCTATTCACAATTAATGAATACTGATCTCCTTTAAAAATTCCAATTATTGAAAAAATAAAAATAAATAAAAATAAAATCCCGATTATTTAGAAATAGAGCAAAAAAAAAATCATCAGTTTTTCTTCAGTTCATTCCATTAAAATCTTCTCAAATCTGACATCTCTAAAGCATTATTATTATTCTTTGGTTATCTTAAGGGAAAAGAGGCTTCTAATTTCCTATTTTTCTTCTAATTTTAGAAAGCATATGTTTATGCAGATGAAGATGAAGGTCGGCCAGCAAATGACTGCTTACTCATCTATGACCACGAGGGAGTAGGGTCTCCTGTTGGCTCCATTGGTTGCTGCAGCTGGATTGTGGATGATTTAGATGAAAGCTGCATGGAAACTTTAGATCCAAAATTCAGGACTCTGGCTGAAATCTGCTTAGACACAGAAATTGAGCCATTTCCTTCACAGCAGGCCTGTATACCTATCAGTACTGACCTGCCTTTGCTGGGGCCTAATTATTTTGTTAATGATTCTTCAGGAATGACCCTCTCAGAGGCTGAATTCCAGGCAGAAATGGCAATACCTGAGCCCATAATCCATGGGGATATCGTAGTGACCGAGACATACTCAACTGCTGACCAATGTATGCAACCCACTACAATTGTTATTGATCCTCAGCTTGCACCCAATGTTGTAGTGACTGAAACAGTGATGGCACCTGTTTATGATGTCCAAGGGAATATCTGTGTACCTGCTGAGCTAGCCAACGCACACAATGTAATCTATACTGAGAGAGTGCTATCTAGTCCTGGTATGCCTGACATGAACAGCAGTACCATGACTGATGGCTGTATGGGACCTGTAATGAGTGGCGGTATTTTGGTAGGGCCAGAAATTCAAGTGACACAAATGGTGAGTCCCAACGTTCATATAAGCCAAACCACTGGTTCCACATCCCCAATGACATCTCGACACAGAGTAACACGGTATAGTAACATACATTACGCCCAACAATAGTGCTTTTGGTCAATACTCTATATGGAGACCTTGTACTTTGTAATCACCCACATATCCATTAAAGGTATAAATGTATTATATTTAACATTTTAATAGCCAACAAATATTCAGATATTCTAAGATCAATGCTACTCTTTGAATATGTCTTTTGCGGGGGGTGGTGAATATGGCTAAGCACTTTAGATAAGCCTTTTATAATTCTTTCTGGTTTTAAATAATGTGCCAAAAACTTAAAATCTTTTATTTCCTTTGATACTGTCTAATAAATAGCACATAACTCATAAGGTGAATCTTAGAGATCTTCAGGTCTATAGGACTAGTCATACAAGCCAAGATGCCCTTGTTCTTGGAGGTTGCAAAAGAAGTCATGACTACAATTACCAGTCATATTTATCTTTTGAGAAATATTTCTGTTAAAAAATTTTAATTGAAAAACTGAATGAAGTGTACATTTCTGAAAGAAGGTTGGAAAGGACAATAGAGCATCTATCATTAGCAGCCTGAAATCATTTGTCTCTTCAATAGTTTCTCAAGATATGCAATATTTAGGGCATAACTAATATATTACAGGGAGAGAGTTTGACAGCTGAGTGCATTACTGAAAATAGTTCACTGAAAAGAATTACATATATATAGATATGCATATATACATTAATCAATATGGGTGAATTTTTATCATACTTTATTGATTTATATCAGTAACTGTAAATTAATTTACGATAGTAAAAAGAATTATGACAACAATAGAGTACAAACAGTTCTTAGGGAAAGCATTAAAGTATTTCCTTCTTAGAATGTTTTCTCTATTCTTCCTATGTCAGAAAACCATATTAAATATGGTTTACTCCATTTTGTTGACCCAAGTCATAGAGCTTTCATTTAGCGATAGGGTATTCTCCAAAGTACCTCTCTGGTTATGCATATATTCAACAATATTTACTCAGAAGCTACTATGTGTTGAGTGCTGGTCTTGTCTCTGTGAATAAATACGTGAAGAAGACAAACATGATTTACCCGTCTTCTAGAACTTCTAACTCATCTGTAGCCTTAAAACTCTGGGGATACAGCTTTGAGTTCCTGCCAAGAATAATTAACAAAATATTTAAGTCCATTACCAAGTTGTGTTTCTCTTTTTAACACTGCTATATTATGTTGAATTAATAAAACAGAAACACATACACAGATTGCTTGCTTTTAGTAGGTATAAAGTGGGCTTAAGAGAAAGAAGTTCTAGCAAGATAATTTCATTTAATTCTGTAAAATATGTAAACTATATAGTAGCAACTATAATGTGACTCATAAAATAATGTAAATGAAATAAACTTATTTTCAGGGCTTATTCCTTTTGGAAGGAAATAACTGTAGTGCTTCTTGCTTAATTTGTTCCTTTATAAATAAAACTACTCTAGAATTTGGAGCATCTCCCATAATCTCTTGCCCAATTCTCTCATTTTACAGAAAAGGAATCTAGAACCAGAGAGGTAAAGTGACTACAACTTGCTAGTTGTGGAACAAAATCTTATAGCCATTTCTCAGGTACTCTGGCCCATGTTTCAATACTATAACTACATCAGACATGGAGATCAAGTTTGGCCCATTGCATACTCTTTGTTATTTCCTATTTGGAAGAAAAAGTATCTCTCAAAAGAAAAAAAAAAGGTTTTCTGACGTTTAAGTGCAGAACAGCTGAAACGGTATGACGCCAGAAGATTATTTACATGTTTTCTCATCTTTTCCAAGCTACATGTATTACCAGTTATTATAGTCATTCCTTACTGTGGTTATTCACAACCAATATTCTGCTACATTTCATAACTCTATAATTTGATGAATTCATAGGGTAGCTAAGGAGCATATTAATACCATGGTCATTTTAATAGTCAACAAACCAGCCATGTAACACCTTGCATGCATTCAGTGCCATGGCATATCCTGATGTGGATATTTCTCTCTTGAATTCTGCATTCTATGGCGCTAATAATTTTTCAAATTATGAAAAAACTGGTGAATAATTAAATGTAAGGTGCTAATGGATTTAAAACTGAAAACAATAAGAGATTTGAGAAATGATGAAGAAAATAGTACTAAAAGTTTAACTGATACCACTTGTGAGAAGGCTATGAAAATTTCTCTATAAACTTTTCTATCAATACACAAAGATTCAATGGTGCTTCCAAAAGAGGAAATCTATCTCTGGTGGCTGTTTTCCCTTATACTGTCCATGGAAACAAGCATTTCATTTTCTCTCTCAATATTATCAGTGAGAAGGAACTCCTCCATCATTCCAAGATGGTCTGTATCATTCACATATGACATAAGGCTCCAAAATTGGTGTATTATTAAAATATTATCCCAAATAAAATAGAAAGCATAAGTAAGATCTCCCTTTCCCTGCTGAAGAGTTAGGGTATTGATTTATCTAGGATATAAAGATGATATAGCATTGATGTTAAAATTTGAAAATGAACCCATAAGTTCAAGAAATGATATTTAATTAGTAAGTATAATAACGGGGATCCCTGGGTGGTGCAGCGGTTTGGCGCCTGCCTTTGGCCCAGGGCGCGATCCTGGAGACCCGGGATCGAATCCCACGTCGGGCTCCCGGTGCATGGAGCCTGCTTCTCCCTCTGCCTGTGTCTCTGCTTCTCTCTCTCTCTCTCTCTCTCTCTCTCTCTCTCTCTCTCTGACTATCATAAAAAAAAAGTATAATAACATATAGTTTGAATCATATATCTTGCCACTTGCAATTACCTGAAGGGAAGTCATTATCAAATATAAAAATAGGTTCTATTAGAACTGCCTTATTAGGAAAAGGGAAAGGAAGACAAGAACACAGAGTATTTACAGGGGCGCCTGGGTGGCTCAGTTGGCTAAGTATCTGCCTTTGGCTCAGGTCCTGATCCAGGCTCCTGGGAATGGAGCCCAGAGTCAGGCTACCTGCTCAGCGAGGAGTCTGCTTTTCCCTCTCTCTCTCTGCCCCTACCCCTGCTCATGCTCTCTCTTTCATATAAATAAAATATTTTTTAAAAAACAGACTATTTACAAACTTGTTTCAGAAAAAAAATTATTGGAAAAAATTTCCTTTTGGATTAGATATTTCTGATGACAATATATTACCAAATGTAATAATGTTTTATATGTTTCTCCAATAAAAATGTGATAAAAGAAATAAATGTTTCATTTTCTCTTTGGTGTATGTAGTGTTCTACACACAAACACACACCCAGAAAACCTCTTCCCATCATGTTCCCGGGTGATTATTGTCTCTATCATGATGGGTATAATACAGGAGCATGGATTCACTTGTAAATTGGAATTCAGAATAATTCATTTACTCACCAATGGTAAAATTTCTCAATAAAATCATTATTTTCTTAGTAAATGCTCACTATAAACTAACAAATCTCCTGAATAAATTCCAAAAATTATTCCAGACACTGTATAAGTTACAGAATTAAATATCCTCTTTCTCCCACTGGATTTAAATTCAATAAAATTATCATTATTGTTCCTCTACCAGAGGCATCAATTTCTATTGAAATATGAAAAGAAGAGTGAATTTCAATAAGGGGAATTGAGGAAGACTTCTTGAAGGGTGAGATCTGAGCTAGACCAAGCAGAATTGTGTCTGACAGGGATTCCAAAGGTATAAAAACTAAAAACATAGGATATATTCAAAGAATATTAAGTGGTCAAATTAAATATAATAAGAAATGTCTGAAACAAAGTAGGCATTATAAACTTATTACATAGTCAGCCATTTTATATGACGCTTACTGTTCTAATTTCTTAGAATATATTATCCTATTGAGTTCATAAAACAACACTGGGTATGACTGATATCCAACTCACACATGAAGATACTAAAGCATTGTTATTTTTGTATTAGAGCTTAGGTGAGTAGCAGAGTTAAAATTCAAACCCAGGATGGCCTATTCTTATTCTTAATCTTCAAATGCTTTTGACTTCATTCAAAAGATTAGGGAGAAAGGCAAATGGTGGAGAATCTTGAATCCCATTAGGGGTTTGGTCTTAACTTGTTATAAAATGAGGAACAAGTGAAATTTTGTGTACTGGTAAATGGCCAAGTCTTATTTTATGAGATGCAACGGAGGCAGCCATTAGGAGTCTTCATGACAGTTGGTGTGCTATTGAACACAGAGACACTCTTGAGGCCAGAGAGCCAAGGATCTTCCAAAAAGACAATATTCCAAGGTAAGCTTGTTGACCCCAAAGCCTCAGAGATCTTAGATCACCACTGTGATGAGCAGGTATATGTTGGGTGGTCTAAGGTGACTCCAATAAGTCAATCAAAGTTTTTCTACATTTTGAATGCCTTTGACCTTCTTCTTCCTTTTTTTTTTTTTTTTTCACTTTAAGTCAGATGTATGGACTATTTGCAGTTCCTAGAATAAGGCATGCTTTCTCATACCTCCATCACTCTGCCCCTCCCTGGTTCCTTAACCTGGAACACTCTTTGCTCTTCTCATCTACTTAGCTTTTTCCTACTTACCCTTCAACACTCACTTCAAGCATTGCCACTTCTTGAGAGCATTTCCTGATATCTCTTTCACTGCCCTCAAGCTGCTGGCTTAGCTAGCTCTCCTTTACTTCTGTTAACATACTATTTTTCCTATGCCTGCCAGCCTATGAGAAAGGACACCGCTTTTCTCCACTGTTAAAAGAATATCTAGCACATAGCACCCACTCATTAATTTTAGAAGTGAAGAATATAGTACAATTCTCTCAGGGACTCAAAAGGAAGTATCTGCAGTTTAATAGCATTACCTCTAGGTAGCAGCCCTTTGAATGACTTTTGAAAAGCTTGTATAAATGCTGCCTTTAGCAAGAAAATGGAAGTATATAACTCACAAAGACAATTCCAGGAGAAATCTATCTTTTGGGTCCTGGGATCGAGTCCCACATCAGGCTCCCCCCAGGGAGCCTGCTTCTCCCTCTGCCTATGCCTCTGCCTCTCCCTCTGGATCTTTCATAAATAAACAAACAAAAAAGAAAGAAAGAAAGAAAGAAAGAAAGAAAGAAAGAAAGAAAGAAAGAGGAAAGAAAAAAGAAAGAGAAGGAGAAAGAAAGAAAGAAAGAAAGAAAGAAAGAAAGAAAGAAAGAAAGAAGAAGAAAATCTCATGTGTCTTTGAAAGAAATTATGTTATAGCTGAATAAAATAAATTTTAAAATGTCACAGAGAAAGTGATTTTTATGCAAGATAAACACTTCAGAAGACAGTTAAAATTTCTGCGAATTTGAGAGACAGTTGATAATAAGATTACCTTTCATTAGAGCCATTGATTGTGGACTTTTTCTCTTTTAATACCATTTCTTCTAAAAAAAAATACCATTTCTTCTATATAAGGTTGGTAACAAAATGTGTGTGTGTGCATGTGTGTGATAAAGCCTGACAGCAGGAAAAATAGAGGTCTCAGTATTAAGATAAAGGTTCTTTACTTTTTATCAAAACAACCATGAAAACCAAATAAATGAAGCCTAAAAATTACGCTTACATTTTCATGGGAAAAATTCCCAGAAAGCCAACACTTATTGTCACTTATTGTCAAATGGTATAATTTCTTGAATGTTACAAAATCTAAATGGTTGTTACAATTTTTTAAACAGGGACTAATTATTAAATGCAAATAATGAAAATTAAGTTGCTAAGACAGCTTCTTTAAATTCTATTTCAGCTTATTTAAGGGGTCCCTGGGTTGCTCAGTCAGTTAAGCCTCCAACTCTCAGTTTCACCCTAGGTCATGATCTCAGAGTCACAAGATCAAGTCCCTTGTGGGGCTCAGCACTCACTGCAGAGTCTGCTTGGATTTTTCACTGCTTCTCTCTCTGCTTCTCCCTTAACCTTGCACGTACACGCATGCATGCTCTGTATCTCTCTCTCTCTCTCTAAAAAGTAAAATAAATCTTAAATAAATAAATAAATTCTATTTCAGCTGACTTGAAATAACTGTAAAACTGAAGTCAAGAGTTCACACTGGGAAGGAATCCCTGGTGGGGTTTGCCAGCACTTTTGTGAAGTGCTAAGAAACTGAATAAACAAGACTGTGAGCTATCTTATCATTTTAAAAAATAATAAAGGAAAAGGCAATAAAAGCCTTCTAATAATTACAAAAATAAATTCTATTTTATAGATTAAGATAGCAATTGTCCAGAACAGAACTGCCAGCAGGCAGGCATCATGTGCTAGTGCAAAGTGCTTGTTCATTAGCTCACATGCAGGCAGAATTGTGCAAGGTAAGGGTGCCAATACGTAATGTAGATAAAGTTAGTTGAATAAAAGTGAAACAAGTGAAAGTTGAAGACTACTGTATTTATTGTTGTTGGCATAAAAGATCAACTCATAGCATTGAAAATATTTTATTAAAAAGAGGACCAGGGTTAGAATTCCTGGTTA